TCTCCCTTTCTTGTTCAAGAGAGGGACTGGAAAGGGCACTGGGTACTGCCTAGCCTGCTGCACAGTGATTAAAGACTGTACTGAGAAGTTATAGACAGGTAGATTCAAAACTCTTCTGCATAAGTGGACCCTAAAACCCAGGGCTCTTGCTTTCTGGGTGAATGCCCTAATCACTGATTTATTGAAGTAAAAGCATTGGAGGGCCTTCCTTCTCCTGTGTCTGACATCCATTAGTCAAAATTGTTTTATTTGGCTATACTTTCATGGATTCTATACACTTATATGTCTTTACTGGGCATATACATGTGGCCAAGTATGTAAATGGCCAGTGTAACCTAGCGTGCATGGTCCCTCTACATATGTATGTTTGAGTGTGCACAGTTCAGGGGTGCACTGTGGACCTATGTGTAAGTGTTGGAGAAGGCATTTACATCGTAGGAAAACTGCCATGTAAGTACACAAAGGGAAATATAATCCCACCAATATCTCTGTTTTAATTCCTCTACATCAAGAGAAGCTCCATGAACATCATGCAACATGAGAGATGCAGTTTTGCTGGATATTCCAGCTGCTAAACAAGAATGAGAAAAAAAGCTTCTAAAATGCCTTCAAAGGCTCCCTAGGCACTTCAGCAGCCCAAGGGGAATGCCGTTCACTGTCAAAGTGACTCAGAACAAAATGTTTTGATTCAACCCAACAAACCAAAATAAAATGTTAGATGTTTTGTAGTAGCTGAAATAAAATTTTAAGACATTTCCAAACTAAAATTGCTTGGAAATTTTCATTGCAGACAAAATTATGATATTTGATTTATCACCCCGATGAAAATGCTATTTTAAAATATCACAATTAAATTGTGATGGAAAACAATTTTTTTTCAACTTAATCTGCTAATGACATAATCTGAAGAGATTTTAAGTGGTTTATGGTATCAAAACAACAGATCTGAGGAAGGAAAAGGTGTAATTCATTTGTTGTATATGAAATATTTAAAAAATGCAATTATATCTTAGAAAAGCATAACTAAGAATCTGATATTTTATGTTTTGTGCTTTCAAAAAGAGACCCACATAATACGTAGTAACTAGTATGAGTAACCTTTAGAAGCTATACTTTTAGCAGGCAACTGAGTAGCCAGAAATTTTGAATGAACAATTCACGCTGAATAATGTCTGTAGCAATTTTTAGCTCTTTTTATGGTTGTGAATTGTCCTCAGACAGGTTATGAATTTTCTGAATTTATTTATCACTCAAACATATTTTTGAAATAATCCTGTGTATCTTATTTGCACACTATACAAATTCAATATTCAAAATTCAAGCTGTTTCATTAGATTGGTAGTCATGTAGTATTCTTCTCTTCAAATACAGCTCTTAGTACTGGAGCTCCAGTGTAAATATTGAAAGGTAATCATTCAAAATCTGTTTTTTAAATACTCTTCACTATATGCTCAAAATTCTCCAAACATTTCTATTAATACACTTGTTAAAAAAATAGTTACAGAAAGCAAACAATATCCACCCCTAATCAACAGAATATATATTCATCAGTTAGATAATAGGAAACTTGGGTGACAAATGGATTTTAACATAGCAAAAGGGGAAACTATAATTGGTTATCTCCCATTGACAAAAATAATAATACTCCTATGCTTGACTATACATCTAGTGCTTGTTGGGTGTGATGGTGTTTCATATGCATTTATATAAATCATATAATTTATATACAAGTGTAAATATATTATATAAAATATGTATATTATTTATATACATATGTTTTACTATCCTTTAAAAACCTAAATATTCTAAAAATCTAAGTCTAAAAAATAATGAATGGTTACTTATAGAGGCAGTAATGTATAAAAACTGTTTGCTCTACTTTAAAATCTTGTTTGATGAAATACATTTTTACTTGTTAATCTGCAAGCTGACATGGGAGGTACGGTAGCTATGCTTCCCCTTAGAATATCAGGGAAGAATGTAAGGTTATTAACAGAACAACAACATAAATAATTCAATGCAAGCCCTAGAGCTTATAGGTAAGTGAGAATAAGGAGCTTCATCTACACTATCTGCACTGTCTTAACTTCAGTGTGGTGTTCTCTCACCTAAGCAATAGTTTTATAGAGCTCTTACTGCTATGATAACTCAATATCATGAAAATCCAACCTCTGCTGCTTATAATATTTTTGTACTGCATGTCAAGGCATCATGTATATGGAGGGCTAAAAAGAGATTTAAAAAAACACTTCTTAAAGATTTTCAACAAAAAAAGGATGAGCGCGCAATTCTTTGCACAAAGCATTAGAAAATACTGTGATATTTTATTATTAAAAATGCTGCTGAAAAGTTTATACATATGTGTCCAGCCATATATATCTTCTATCATTACTTAAGGCGAAAAACAAACAAAAAAAATTGCAAAACAATAACAAAAGAAACCATTAAACCCTGCGTGCCTCTTAAGGTCAAGAATATACTGGGAAAGTTCTTTTTTGTTTCTTGTACAGTTTGCAAAGTGTAATTTGTTATCATTATTATAGAATTCTATGAAGATCCTATAAATCTTTCCATTTATAAATCATACATCAGTTCAGATGTATTAAATGATTAAGTTGACTTGATCGTAATTATTTTTAAAAGTCAAAATCATTCACTTACAGGAACTTTTTTACCCAAATGTCACAAGCCTGACACAGTACTGTACATATTGCTAGCAGAAAACAATTGGAAGTACTAAACAAATACTGTAATTCACATTACAAACATACCCAACTGGTTATGATGCAAAGCATCACTGCCTTTTAAATTATTTTTCTTTTTTTTTTTTTTTAATTTTTATTTTTAGAGTCATGAACGGCTGCATCTCAGCTGAGGCAATATATAGGTGGCAGAAATGGCCTGGTATAGAGTCAGCTTTAATAAACATTACGGGATGTATCAGTGAAGAAGGCAGTTTTCTGTTTGCTACTAGACATACTTCAGAATGTTGCTTCGCTACTGTCCAACCTGAGAGACCAGGTCATATGTATAGCATATCTATCTTCTTACATGTAAAGAATGATACTGGTTTCATGGTGGACTTTTACCATATTATTAAATCTCTTTTTCATCTCTTTCAAAACCTGCTCCCAGCCAGCCACAGCAAGGAGCTGTACAGAACTCGTATGTCACCTTTCACAGGCTGGCACTTCCAAAGTGTTTAATTTTTAAAAAAAGGGAGGAAAAAAAAAAGGTGCAAGGCATCTTGTGTTTTGTTCTGCATGGGACAGACAATATGATACTGCTGCGCCCAGCTTCGAAGGGATATAGTAATAAAAAATAGATCTGGGACAGTCATGTTCAAGTGCAGAGCAACTCTGTTCAAATATCTTTGGTTCCAATCTCTGGATTAAATAGTTACTTTCTAAAGCAAAATATAAAGTAACTCTCATTTGTTAATAACTCACTTCTATCATTTAATATTTGAATACGTTTTTGAAAAGAAATTATAAAACTCCTTGTGGGACAGCCCTGTTTGCCCTCCCAGTTAAGGAGTGCAGAATAAACAATAAAAATTGTATATTTTTTCTGACAATGATGCTGTCCTGAATTTTCACATAAATGCACACAAACCCCATCAGTTCTCTCTCTAGCTCCCAACAATCTCTATTGGATATGGGACAGCTACACAACTGTCGAAAATACTGTTTTCTGACAGATGAACTCTTGATCACAAAAGCAGGATACTGAGGGGAAAAAGTGCTTTGTATAATGATAAATCATGACCATTTTTTAAAACCAAACCAAACCAAACCATTTTCCCCACCTTCAAACTGTATTTCCCTTTGTTTAGCAAAGCTGAGTGGGTGCTTCTTCAGCTCAAGCTCTTCTGCAGCTGCTGGTGAATATAGAGCTAGTATTCCTCAGAAAAGACTGACCAAAAGGCAGGCTTTCTTTGCTTTTGTCAGGGTAGCAGATTGGGAAGCAACTCTGCCTAATATATTAAAATAACCAAGAACTACAAAACTGGACTCTTTATATATATTTTTGATGTTTCTTGGTTCAATTCAACAAGCTTAAAACAATAATTATTTTTCCATTTTCGGATCCATCTCTGTGTTGCAATTTAATGTACGCTAACAAAAAAGGAAGGAAAAGAAAAGGTTTCTGGGGAAAAAAAACAACCAACCATCTCCTAAGAATGCTTTAACATGCATTTGTGTAACCTGTAAGAGAAAATATGCAGGTCACACAGACAACTCTATCCTCTGCATGACACCATGTCCTTCTATAAATGAAACATGTTAGAAAAACCTCATGTCTTTGCTTACCACTAGTAATTAAGAAGAAATTCCTCCTTTTGGCCTGGAGGGAACAGAGGTGATATGACTAATGTATATACACATAGGTCACAACTGAATGCACAATCTTTCTAAAAGCTCTTTTGAAACTGAAAACATCAATAAAAGCTTATTTTTAAACTCACAGCTATGTACATTTTTTACAAAGTTTCTTTAAATATAGTTCAGGCTGGCAAGTCATCTCTGCACAGAACTATACGTGTTTTACTGCATAGTCAGTCCTCTTGTTTTTAATAATAAAATCCTATTTCTCCCTTCTGGATTGCAAGTTCATATGCTGGGTAAAAGCCCATGATGATGTCTTTATTTTAACAAGGGCCATTCATGGTATGGCACATAAAGAACTTTTTTTTTATTTTTTATTATTAAAAAAACTGTACAGTCACTGGCTCCATGTTCCAGAAGATTCTGTTTCTGATGGTTGCACTCAAAACCTCATTTTAACTGATTTCTTCTGGCCTCAACTTTCAATCAAAGCGGTTGAGATCTTAAAGCAGTATCATAACAGCAATGTACACATTTCACATTTCACAGGGTTTGAAGCTGATCTTTAATATCAGAGTTCCTATGGGAAGGATCAGTAAGAAAATAATGACTGTCCTTCTCTTTTACTGTTGTTTTATTATTATTATTCTGACAAGTTGTTCTATGGAGAATATTTTTTTCCCTCTTCTTTTTCTCTTTTCTTCCAATTGGCTTGTGGGGTGAAAGAGGAATGGCAGAGCTATACCCTAGTAGTAGAATGTCCATGGGGCAAATTAGTACTGTTTTGTCCTCCACTGAAAGTGTTGAAAGTATGCAAAGGCTGCATTCCTGTTAATGTATTAGGAATCATGGTTATGGTGTTGGGTGTCATGAGTGGAATGTCATCTGGGGACCTCCTCAAAGTAAGGGTGTAGTCAGGTGGACAGGTGAGTCTCAGTGTGTCGTGTGCCTGCAGCGATTCACACTCGTGGTCATGCTCCAGCTGTTTCATCTGCAATGACATAATCTCTTCATTTTGTATGTGCGCTATATCATTAGTTGTGTTCCTTTGAGGGCTGGGGCGCCTGTGTGTTTCATGACGCCTCTTGTCTTTCTTGTAATACAGTGCAGCAAAAGCTAAAATGTTGAGGAATAGCAAGGATGCTCCCACAGCAATAGTGACACTCAGCTCTGTGGAATAATCTCGCTTGTTTTCTATGAGAACAGTTGTATCCTCTGGGGCAGTTTTATGAGTGTCTTTTGAATGTTTAGGATTGTTGGCTGGTGTCATTGCTGGACGTTTGGTGGCTGGCCACAGCTTTCCAGGAGACCGCCTGGTTACATAAGGAAATGATGTCATATCAGGAGGGGGAACTTTTGTTGTTGTGGAAACATACTGAAATATTTCATTGAGGTTGTGCAGGTGTGGTACAAGTTCCAACCAGAAGGCAACTTTTGTTGCTCGGTAGTGATCCCGGACTCTGGGTTTCAGGCCAATATGTAGGTACAGTTGATCTTTAGGGTTATACTTGGACCAGGCCACTTCTTCAAAACGGTTGGGTTTTGTATGAATAAACTTTGTGTCTTGTGGAACAGGCTGGTTTGGATCTCTACAAAGAAAAAACAGAATAAAATAATAGCACACTTAATACAAGTAAATGCATTATGCTTTACCCCATAATTAAGAGAAACTGAAATCCGTTACCTAATGAAGCCCTTTTTTAATAGGTGCCTTTCAAAAACTTACAGACAACTTCTATCCAAATAAATCTGACACAGTAATATTTCCTTCTATAAAAGTAGGAAAAAAATTATTCACTCCTACTCCTAGGATGCATCTGCACATACGTGTTAGTGTGCAGTAGCTTATTTTACTGTGCGTTAGAATGTCATGGTAAAAATGTGATAATATGCTAATGCTCAGTCAAATTAAGCTACTGCTCATTAAGCATCACTAACAAAGTGTGCACTTTTGCTACTGTGCATTAAGGCAGCCTAATGCACATTTAGTTAGTACCTCCCATTAGAGGTACTAAATCTGGTGTGCAGTAGCAAAAGCACATTAATTAATGTATAGATGCTCCCCTAGAAACGTAAATTGGAGTTGTGTAGTTGCCTTCAAAGATTGGACTCAAAAGGTAAAATTCAGAGTGGCTGCCATGGTGAGTGTTTTGCATGTTTAGTGCATCTCAGGATTTGACTTCAGTAGGTCCCACAGTGTGGCATATAGAAGACTGTCTTACAGTGTTAGCCAGACCTTTATTCAGAACCTGAGGTGTTGTAAGTGTTGTAAATTTAATCAAAAAGTTATGATGATTAACACCATCTCAGGATCTGTATATGTCTTTTAGGTTCATTTTCTGTAATATTCTGTAATAGAAGGGCTAAATCGGGAGCAATTTGTGACTTTTTTGTGCTCTGATTTATGTAAGCATTATCCCTCCTTATTTAAACCACGCTTAAGGAAAGAGCTTCTAAAACATGGGTATGTGGCAAATCTTGCAATCACTTGCAGTAAGAAATTACTTCCCAAAAGAAGAGTGCTTAAATACTACTCAACTAGTACAAAAGGCCTTCGGCCTGTCCAAGTTTTTTTCCTGCCCTAATCAGAATCCTTCCCAGTACTCCTGTAAAATAGTTTTGAATGTTTCCCCCTATCCTAATAAAATTGGAAATAGACCAGCTACTTTATAGGAGTTTGGCCTGGATCTTTAAACACATAGCATCAAATTAAGTAGTCCCTATGTTTTATTTTTTTATTTCTTAGTCTTATATTTCCAATGTTTAACTTTAAAAAACAAATAATGCAAATAACTACAACTGCTCATATTAGTAAGTTTAAAAATATATTGATCAGTCAATGTAAACTTGTTCATGCTTAACCTCATCTCCTTTAAAACAGCAGTGGGAAACTAAAATTAAAGGAAAAATAAGTTGAATCTATGCATACTCCTTGTAAATATTCCTTCCTTTGAAATATATCTAACAATAACATCTAGTTTGCTATTTCATCTCTTAGAAGTTTCTGAATTTTTCCTCCAGCAAGACATATCTACTTCATAGTATATCATACTGAAGTATATAATGTATATTTTCTGCATTAAACTGATATTTCTCCTCTACATTTCCACAAGGATTAGTTTATTTCTTCTTAAAATGATTCTGATCTCTTCCTTTTCTGCTAATAATGTATTTATCAATGTTTTGGGAATTTTCTGGTCCAATATTACAGTTTGAAAAGGTTTTTAAAATTATTTTTTCCTATTTCATTGGACACAAGCTTGGTGAACTATTCTTACAGTTCCTTTGTTCTTAATAAAGAGCCATTTCTTAGTTGTAAAGATAGATTAGTGAATTAACTTTAATAAACTGTAGATACTTACCTTTACCTGTTTACCTGTGGGAATATTCCTTTGAATTAAATCAAGTTAAATTAAATATATATATATGTGAAGATATATATGTGTGTATACATATATATTTTTTTTTTTTCTCTGAGAGTATAATTCTATTTTCTTTTAGATATTATTCTACACCACACAGTTGCTATTTTGTGAAGTCTTAATCTGGGGATTCCAGAAGCAGTGCTTTTATTTTATTCTTCTAGATAGTATCTATATTCTAAATTCTGCATATGGCTTTAAGAAAAAAAAAGTTTTAATTGTTATACCCTGACTGAAGCTGAAGTTCTATCCCTTTCCAAGCAAAACTGCAACATATTTCAATATGCTGTCAATTTGAGAGATTCCAATGTGTATTTGAAAATGAAATAAAAGTAATTCTTTTGTTCTCAAAGCATACAGAGGAGAATTTGGAAAATCCAGACAAGGCATTGGCTTGATAAAATGTATCTACTACAGTACTTTTGGACATGAGACAAAAATTGTAAAACCAAGATAAACTCGTACAGATTATGAGAGCACAAGTCATTTTTCCTTGTCAGGAACTCAAAAGCCTGGAACAGCTGTAGAAGGGAATCCATCGCATATTTTCTACCCACTGCTTAAGAACATGCTGTTCCAATTTATAGCTCTAAAAACCTTGCCCTGTGTTCAGCAGTGTAGTTGCAAAAGGTTCATGAAATTAAGTCAACACATGTAAGTTAGTTGTGCTTGAGGAATGAAATCCACAGTGAAATTCTATGGTAAAAATTAAGCACCAAACTCCTAGCGGTGATAAGAGCCCACAGTTCCTACTGAAGTCTTGAGAACACCCCATGAAGAATCAAGGCTGCGGTTGGCCTCAATCCCTAGTCCTTACCCTTGTTGATATAAAAATGCTTTTCATACGCTCCACATAGCTACTTATCAGAAACCAGCTTTGTGAAGCTGTCCCATGTACCTGAAGGTAAGGATACTTTATGGTGTTCAATCACCTCCCATCCACATTCCTATTCACTGAATGTGGGGAGATATCCAAATCCCTAAAAAGTCCTTGGAAAGTTCACAGAAGTTTACCCCAGAAAAATGCTGCCATGCCATAGTTACCTTCTTAGGTAATTAGCGCTAAGAGGTGAACTCTTGATCTGTCAAGCAGTTATGTAGTTCTCTTTCCTTGGGATAAAATATCATTATTTAACAAGGTTTTGTAGCATTGAGAGAACGTTTTGTGTTATACTAACACTAATACAGTTTCTGAGAACTTGGACTGGAGGAAAATTCAGTTGGGCAATTTTTTTTTTAAGCATTACTATACAGCAGGGTGAGGAGTCCAACAGGATTGGCATATGCTTTAATTTAAGCATTGTTCCATCGAACATTTGAGCATTTGTCCCTGGAGGGCAGTACAAAAGGACCTAATTAAACATATAAGTGCCTAAAGAACAGTTCAGGCTTGGGTGTTTAGATACTCTATACAGACAATTGGGAGCAATTCTAATTTTCAAAAGAACAATTAAATGAAACTAGAGGAAATCCTTCTGACTTTCACTTATCCATTTTGTGACTCCTATTCCTCCTCACAACACCAAGTGCCACTTTTGAGATAGTTGTGTAGTGACTTCCTAAAGACAGGTGATTCTGACTGCCAAGTCTTGACAAAAGAGGAGATGATATCCCCTTTTGACCAATATTTAGTGATCAAAGTATTTGTCTAAGAAGTGGAAGATCTGGTTCTTAGGCCCTCAGTGTTCTGATGGAATTTAAATCCATATCTCTCATGCTCTAGGGGGAAGGCCTTAACCTCCAAGATAAGTAATAGCACTCCTCACATCCCATGTTAAAGCTCATTCAGTGGGAAGTCAAAGGTACTAGAACTGTTGGGCAAGGAGAAAAAGCAAATGGGAACCCTCCTTTGCAGCCTGGGTGCTATTACGTTTTTAACTAATGTCTGTTTAATACCAAATACATAAGTAGTAATGGGTGCAAAAAGCAGCCCCTGGGGATGCATCCAGACAAGTGTGGATGTGCAGTTTGTGGCACATTACTATAAGCATTGTGCCACAAACTGTGCAAGCAGGCATTCCCCATGTTGCTACTTTGTAGTCCAGGGGGTATTTTCTTGACCTGGGGGGGTGGGGGGGGGGGGGGGGTGATGTTAAAATCCCACAAAAAACCCACACCAAAAAAAGTGGGGTGGTACATGGGGCAGCAGCAAGTACTGCCCAGAACCGGAGCCTGGGTAGCTGGAGCCACACTCTGGCTGCTGGCCAGGCTTTCTGCTGCAAGAGCGCCATGGCTGCAGATCCCAGAGGCCCCACAAGACTCCAGGCAAAGTTGCTGAGGCGAGCATAGTGGCTGGCCCCAGCCTTCCCTACCCCACTCAGGTAGCTTGCCATGCCAAGGTTTGCCACTGCTATTTATTCCTGGGAAAATAAACATTCCCACTTGTCTGGATATACCCTGGGAATCTTTCATCCCAGAGATTTAGCATAACCACTGTACTACAGAGAGCCTTTTAAGACTGCTGGCCATGGGCCATTTTGCTCCTTGGAACTTAGGGGTCTGAACTGAACTAAGTGGTTTTTAGGTGCCTAACAAAGAAGTTGAATCTGGACCCATAGCTCATACTTCTTTACATGGTCAGCTTTTCCCCTGCAGCCAGCCATTTCCTGGTCTCTAGCTTTCAGTTGTCATTTTCTGTTTCATGTTTTTGGAATGTTATCTTTCAGCTCATCTTTTAGGCCCTAGAACTTACATGAACATGCAATTATGGAACAAGGAAAACTTTCAGAAAAAGGTGCATTTAATATAATAACATAACTTATAACGATTTGCTGCATGTCTATACTTCCTTCAATCAAGGCTCTTAGGTCACATCTACACATGAGCCCCACTGTGCAGTCAGTACCATGGAGTCATTTAGGACTGCATGATTGCTAAAGTAAGTACTAAATAACTGCACAGTTCCCATTGGTATTGCACAGTCCCAGTGGTGCACGGGTTATTTCCAACCTTGCCATACAGTAGCAATGAGCTACTGCGCAGTAGCGGTGGTGTCATGGTTAGTGCTCACCAATGCTATGTTGCCATAGCTCATTGCTATGGTGACATAGTGTCTCATGCAGATGCACTTACAGAGACATATATTACTTTCCATTAGCTTTAATAACATCATCTTCTTTCATATGATTGCAGGAAGACAATTATTAGTCATGAGTGCATATTCTCTG